TGTCTCCAGCGCTTGACTCAGGCACCCTGGCCTGGAGGAGCCTTTCCCCCAAACGCTTGTCATGAGCCAGGAAGGCAGCCACAATTCCTTTAACTCCCTCCAAGTTGTTTATTTAATAATAATAATAATTAAAAAAAGATGCACACACACACACATAAATCTGATCTTCTTCACCACCCTTCCTATATACCCAGAAACAAGCTCCTAACGTAAAATGGCCTTGTCCCGCTCTCCAACTAGAGTCCCACCTCTACCCCCAAAAGAGGAGCGAAAGAGTCCAGAGCCCACCCACCCCAGCCTCACCCTCACTCAGTCCCCTCAAGAGAGAGGCAGGGGCTGCGTGTTTAGGGAAATGAGAGGAGCCCTACATTCCAAAAAGGGGTGAAGAGAGGTGAGCTCCCTCACCACCAAATAAGTGCTTAACCCCACACCCTGTCCTTCCATTACCAATTGCCCAAGCCCAGGGATCAGGAAAATAAGAAACGGTCCCACTGGGTGACTCCTCCCCCGCCCCCTAGTCCTAAGTCCATGTGAGAAGCAGAGGTCAGGGGTGATTGAGGTAGAGGGGCCGATGGGTGGCCTGGTGGGCCTGGCCGGCTGCAGAAGCTGAGAAGGGGCCACCTGTGGCATTGCCCGGGGTGGAAGGCTGTTTTCGGAGCGAGGGGGGCACCGTGGAGGTCTTGATGTGAATCACCCTGGTGTCCATGACCTCACACTCGATCTGCATCATCTCCTCATAGTCCCCAGGGGCACCCCGCCCTGACAGGGTCTCTGTGAGAAGGGGAGTAAGAAAGAGAAGGGGAGGCAAACAGAGAGGAGGGTGGGAAAAGCAGCAGTGGATAGGGGGGAAAGGGAACGGCGACCAGGCGGGTCCAGCGCCGGGAGTGAACAAGTCAGTGCAGGGGAGCGGGGAGGGGAGGAAAAGGCCATTGGCGAGTGTGAGGTCGGAGGGAGGGAGGGCATCGAGAGAAAAAGGAGGTGAGGCCAGCAGGTTCCCAGCCACCCCTTCTCCCGGCACCGACCCCGTCCCGTCTTCCTCCCTTCCCTCTCCTGCATCTTGTCCTGCTCTGCACCCATTTCCTGCTTCTTCTCACCCAGGACCTAGCATCTCTCTGAACGCTCCACTCCCCTCTGATCCCCCCTCAGCTCCTCATGCTGGATATCCCTATCAGAATGTCCCCCTTCCTCAATTCCAGGACCCTTCCCCACACCGGGAAGGAATTACCATTGGGGGCCATGGCGGGCATCACCAGGGACATCTTGGGCCGAGAGGTCTTATTGTGGCTGATGGCTGGGAGCAGCAGGTGGTCCTGGGAAACACAGGGGCCAGGCCCGGAGGGTGAAAGTGCTGCTCTCCAGCCTTGACCTGAACACACAGTGCTGGGACCCCAGGGGATGGGGATGAATCGGGAGGAGGAGCTCACCCGCCGGAAGGAGACAACATAAAATGTGTCTTCCCGTCGGTCAATTGCATCCAGGAACTCTGGCTGTGAACGGTCCGGGTGGCGATATAGCTGCAGCTGGCCCACAGAATCCCTAGGCAGGTGGGAAAACAGGATTTGGAACTGGGGGAGGTGGGGAGAAGATGAGGGAAAAAAGACAGGAGACCCCGGTAGATGAGGGAGGTGTAAGGCTACTGGTGGCAGTGGTGACAGCGCAGGCCAGCTCTTGGGGGTATAGCTCTTCAGAACGGAACCCCACTTCATAAGGAAGCACAGCCCCCAGACTCACCTTTCTGGGGGCCCGGGAGGCTGAGTGGGGACTGCCTTAACTGGAGGCAACTTCTTCCGTCGCTGAGACTTCTGGAAGGAGAAGTGTCTAAGGATTTGAAGAGGGTGAAGGGAGCAGGGAGAGAGAGACGCCCCGGAAGCTGGTACCAGCTCACACCCACCCCGCCATGTCCTCAGCATTCCCTCAACCCTCCACAAGGACATGTCCCTCAGAACCCAGGACACGCAGCCCTGCCCACCTGTCTCTCCTGGGCCCTGCGGGGCACCTTCCGCCGGCCTCGCTGGTGGCGCTGCACCCAGCCGCTCAGCTCGTCAGCAAGCCTGGGAAGGGGAGCAGGAAGGAGACGGGGCTCCAGAACCCATCGCAGGATCGGCCGGGGAGGTGCCCCAGCCCTGGGCGCCCCGCACCTGAGGGACTCGGTTCGGTTGAAGTGGCGGCAATCCGAGGAGAGGAAGAGCTGGTCCAGGCCTGGCAGCAGCAGCTCCGCGCCCCGGGGAGCGCCGTCAGGTTCCTCAGGTTCCTGGAGAGCGGCAGGGAGGAGGCAGGGGTCGCAGCTGCCCGGTCCGCCACCAGGAGGCCCCGATGGTGGAGCACCTGTGGCTTCCCTCAAAAAGCAAAGGTGAACTTGGGGAAGAAGACACCCCCGAAAGTAAGAGGGCTCACCTGAAACTCGGCCGGCCCTCAAGGCTGGGCTGGGGCTCCTGGGGGCCCTGGGAGGGGTCCTGGAGGGACTGGACTCCAAGGACGGGCAGCTGCGCTGAGAACTCCAGCAGGTGTCTCCGGGGCCGAGGCTCCTCTCCGCTCATGCTCATCCGAGGAGAGACGGGAGCCGGAGGAGGCTCACTGATGCTGTGCGGGGAGGACGGGGCGCGGGAGAAGTCCAGCTTACCAGGGGCAGGTGAGGGCAAGCGCTGTTATCCATGACTGACGCCCTTCACCAGTGAGATGAATGAGAACAGTCCCTACATCATGGAGCCAGGAAACGAGAGAAAAGGAGCGGCCTAACCTAGAGCCCAGATCTCAGGAAACACCTGCGTCTGTTTTCATCACCGCTGTCAGCACCACTGCCCAGCACTGCCATTCGTCAGATTAATGACAGCTAGAAGGGAGCGCTGAGCACATCCTGCCCCCAGACACCACGGCTGTCTGTGAGTGGGGCAATGGGGGGAGGGCGCCACAGCAGCAACCAGGTGGCCAAGGGGGGGCTCCATTCCGAAGGTTCTGGGGAGCAAGGAGGGGCTCACCTGACAGGCCCAAAGTTGAAGGCAATGAAGAGAAGGAAGACCACGATGCAGACCACCTTCCTGTTCCCAGACCCTAACTTGAGTTCGCTGTTCTGAGGCGCAGAGGAGACAGAGAGGAGGGTGAGTCCCCCCAAGGGGCCTGTATTTCATCCCCCAAGGACAGAAGTCTCACCTCGGTCCACAGGGCCTCCAGCCGCCGCCGGAGGGCAGCGTTCTCCCTGCGCAGCTGCTGGTTGTCGGCCAGCACGGCCTGCAGCCGCGCCTCCAGCCCCTGCAGGTACTCCTTCTTCTTCCTCCGGGACTGGCAGGCCGACTCCCGGTTCTTGATCATTCGCTGCTGCCGCTTCAGCAGCTTTGCCTAGGCACCCAGAGGTTCCACAAGAGAATGAGAGAGAAGAGCGGAGGGGAGGGGAGGGGAAGGAACCCCTGGCCCCCAATCCAGGGGCTGCCCTCCTGACCTGACTTACAGCACCAGAGAGGGGGGCTCTCCTCTATAAACACCCTGCTCCTGCTCCTCAGAGCGGAGAGAAGTTAGACTTAGAAAGAGCGTCCTCTCCCCGGTCCCTGCGGAAGCTCGGTCCCTCTCCTTGATGGCTGCTTCTCCTCACAAGTCTCCTTTTTAGGCCCCAAGTGAACCTTGCTAACTGGTTTCCCAGGAGGAAGAGCCTGCCTCTGGTAACAAACCTAAGGACCCTGAAACTACCTAGAGCTGATACTCACACATAAGCAGGAGTCCACTCTGACCTTCAGGATCATCCTAAGGGTCTGCGTCCTCACTGTCTGCTCTCTCCTCATTCCAGTTCTCCCCCTGACAGACCTTCCTCTTCAGTTCCCGTTACCAGCCCTGCCCCCCGCTCCCCAATACTTACGTCCACTTCAGGGGGGCAGGAGTTCCCAGGCATAGGAGCTGGAACGATGCTCTTCCTCTCAGGCCGAGGCGCAGGGGGGGCTGGCCCCTCAGGCTGGACTCGAATAGCACCTTGGATAAGGACAACTGGGGACACTGGGGCCAGTGAGCAGGAGAAAGCGGTCAGAGAGCTGTGCGTCAGGCGGGGACGGTGCCCACACTTGAGCACCCAAGGGCTCAGTGGCTATGAGCTCCCTTAGGTCAGTCAGCAGACGCAGTACCTGGGGGTGGCTGGGCCAGGGGCTGCAGAAGGACGGTGGTGCTGGGGGGCACCGCGCTGGGCGGCACTGGGACCGTGGTTATCACCACAGGTTTCGGCTGCAGTGGTGGCTTCCGGGCAGGCAGGGCTTTGCCTGAAGGAGGGTGAAAGGAAGGAAGGAATGTCAGGACTGCAGGCCTTTGGCCAGAGACCCAGTGTCAGGAGGCCCCCTTACCTGAGGAGCCCTCGGGGGGCGGGCCCATGCTGATCTGGACAGCTCCAAGTGGCGGGCCAGGGACCTCCCGAAGGAGACACCCCTGAGGGGCTGGGGACTCGGCCTTCACTTCCAGTGCCTCCTTCCCTACAAAAGCCTGTGGAGGCATTCCAGAAAATGCGCGTCAGGAGTGTCAAGGAGAGGAGCTGAGGAAGAAAAGCTCTCCTCCCTCGGAGAGCGAGAAAGAAGGAACTCACTGCAGTGCCCGGAGGGGGGCACGCTGATGCTCACCTGGCTGGGGGACTCTGTGGAGAGCAAGGAAGCCTCAGAGTTGATGGAGGAAGGAGAGACGGGTTCTGTCTTCGTCTGGACCCCTGTGGGTGGCAGGGTGAGACAAACAGCTGGAGATCAGCCAAACACTGAAGGAGAAGAAAGTTAAGATGGGGAAACGGGGACAGGGTCATTTCCCCTGGCACCCACAGAGAAAGCTACTCTGGCCCTAGGCAGGCAATCCGGAGGCGCAGGTGCCCCGGGGCTGCTGGCTGCGGGCGCTCCTCCCACCTCCACCCACCACTGCGCTCTGCAGGTCTCCTTCCTCTGCGGGTCTCCTTCCTCTTCTCACCACCGAGGTGTTCCTCAGGGCCATCCTTGCCCTCCCGCTGTCCCTGTCTCCCTCACAGGCCCGGTCCCTTCATGCAGAGGCCCAAGCAGCAAGAGATGCAGCATTCCTACGGGCCCACGCTCCTGTCTGCCTGGATTCTCATCTCTCCCTGGCCTAATGCTAGCACACAGCTCCATGCTGACCACCGCCAAGCCTGAATCTCTGCCCATGACGGCTCCCCGTGCCCTGACCCTGATGCCCAAGCTCCTTGCTCGTCACTTCCATTCTCATGCCCCACCATTTACACAAATTCAACTGGACTTACACAAAGCTCACTGCTTGTCCTTTCGCACAAATTCCGTCCCTATGTCTGGCAGCCTCCCAGACACATCACCAAGCCACAGTCACCTCTGCGCCTCCGGGGCCTGTTAAATCTGTAAGACTCGCCGATTGCCCCGGATGTGAACTGAAACACTCCCAAGGGCCAGAGGCAGCCCCAAGGTCACCAGTGTGCCACCACCTCTGGTCCATACCACTCATTTTGGTACTTAATTATATGATCACCAATATTTCTAATCTAAATTTTAAAATCAATTTCTATTCTTGAATAGGCAATACAGTCATGTGATAAAAAAATCCCAGAGGAACAAAGGGGAATTCAGTGACAAGTGACACTCCTTCCCTTCCTTGTCCACCAGCCACTCAGAACCCACCCTCAGAGGTACCCACTAGCTGAGCTACTAACCACCTGTTATAACCCTCAGGGGACCCTCCGAAGGCAAGGACCATGCCTTATGCCTCATGTCTATCAAAGTGACGAATAAAGTACAAGTCAAAAAACACAAGTTGGAGTTTTTTCTTGATATTGGGCAACCCAAATCAGAACCAGGTAAAGTACAAGTCAAAAAACACAAGTTGTCCTAACCGCTTGGGCTCAGTGGATAGAGCGTCGGCCTACGGACTGAAGGGTCCCTGGTTCGATTCCGGTCAAGGGCATGTACCTTGGTTGCGGGCACATCCCCAGTAGGGAGTGTGCAGGAGGCATCTGATTGATGTTTCTAACTCTCTATCCCTCTCCCTTCCCCTCTGTAAAAAATCAATAAAATATACTTAAAAAAACACAAGTCTAGGGGAGAATCTGACTCCAGTAACACTACTGTTTGTAAAGTCATCAGCAATGTTTTTGCTGTTCAAGGCTTTTCCATCTTTACTTTGTCCTCTTTGCAACTTTTAATCGTGTGCTGGATACAATGTTTGTTCCTCCAAATCCTCCCTCCATCCTTCCCTGCCCCATGAATCCCAAGAGGAAACATGAGTGGATTCCATTACTGGCTCCCTTGCCCTCTTGCTTCTGGTTGGGAGGCAGTGCCAGGAAACCCTGAAGGCACTCTGAGCTGAACAATCAGCCTGGCCAACCCTGGATTCCTCATGCCCCCTGAGCAGAGGGCTCCTGCTCTCACACCGCTATCCAGGGGACAGCACCATCGCCCGCTGGACAGCTGCCCAGCCAGAAGCCCAGGCTTCCTCTTCGACCCCTGCTCAATGCCCAGGAGGTCACTGCAGCTCATCCATTCTACTTCATTCTTTCTGCTTTCTTCTCGGCATCCAAATACCTTACTTCATTAACTGCGGAGCCTCTTCCTTGGTTCTCTACCTCCGGCCTCTAGTCCCACCTCTGCAGTCCATTCTCTACTCTGCCACCAGAGCTGTCTCCTAGACAGACTGTGCTCCTGCCTGATTCTTCAGAGGGTCCCAACTGTCCACAGGACACCAACTAAGAGACCTTCAGCAGGGTCCCCCTGGCCCTACAACCTCTACAGCGCCTTGCCATCCCCACTCCCTGCTCATATCCATCTAAAGACACACGTGCCCGCTCCCTCAGTCTCCTCTGGCTAATTGCCATGCATCCTTCCCAGCTCAGCCAGGAAGCCCTCCTCTGCAGCACCTCCTGATGCAGCCCCGCGGGTGAAGGGCCCAGCGCTCCGAGAGCGACGCCACAGCGGGCACACGCCACAGTGGGCACACGCCACAGTGGGCACACCGGTGTGCACTGATACTCGTCTTCCGCCCCCACCACTCTACAGGAGTCTCCTGTCAGCGTGCTGGTCGTCTTTGTCATCTTTGCATCCCCAGCACCCTGTCCAGTACCTGGTATGAGTAGGTGCTCAATAAATGTTTACTGAATAAACACAGAAGGGTACCTAAACTTGGTAACTTAAAAACAGCACAAATAATGTTGGTTATAGGACCTAGGAGTTGAGTCTATAATCCAACTTTTCTGTATGTTTAGGACTTTTTATAATAAAACGTGAGAGTGAAAAAAATAATATAAATAATTATGCCAGAAACTGTCCAAAGTCTTTAAAACATGCAAAGCAACAGGAAGTTAAATCACACAGCAGGACACTAGGAACAAGAAAAAGCAAGACAGACCCCCCCCTCTCTC